GTTCATAACAGAGAATACTCTTTCTGTAAATGCTGAAGTGGCCGGGACGGACAGCAAAAGTGATACTACTTTGAACAGATTTGGGAAATCAGGTTGTTCCGTAAATATGGCTTGTCATTTTTCTGTGCAATATTGTTGATATAAAAGTACTCTGAATTTTGAATAATCGCTTATAAAATTACGATATGTTTACTTAAGGCCTTAAATAAAGTATTTTTGCATACTTTATGTGTCTTGTATAGTATAACGTACGCACAGTCGAAATAGAGTACAATACTCTATAATAAAGTGCGGGGGCAACCCTACTTATAACCCACTATACTACCACTTATTGATGAGTCTAAACAATCGCTATACTGCAGTAAAGAAGCAGATTTTTGAAAGTTTCTAAACAATTTTTGTCAGATATTTTGATAACTAGAAACACATACTTGATTACGCCATAATCGTGAGATGGGTCAAATACGTATTATATTATAACAAAAACGTAAAATTTAATGCGAAATTTGAATGAATTTTTTACCGTATAACACAAAATTGCCAACACAATTGTGATTCATGTATCATAACAAATTGCAGCTATCGATGCTTGAACGTGTTTATCGAGTTTTTGAGGTTTTGTCTGGTAAATGTATAACAATATAGTTATAAACATTTATTTATTAATGAAAGATGAATGCAAATTAGTCGTTTTGCAACGATCAATGTTAGGCATTCTTACCTCTTATACATTAAAGATGTTTCAGACAATCAGTCATAAATATGGAACAATTTTTCTGCAGCATGTTTTTATTGGTCATTAAACGATCATTACTTAGCGATTATGATTACGATTACGATTATTGTTTAATAATCGACGATCAGGATTTCGATTAGGATTATTTCTGTTTTTTAATAAAATATAAAATTATCGATAAGAGTAAAATAATTATTTATTACCATAAAACAATAACTAACAATTAATAAGTTAATTAAAAGGATAACAGTAAAATAATATCGTCGAGACCGGACTGAGATAAATTACCGACTGTATAGAGATATTCATTTTCAATAGAGCAGGCTTCCCTACAATAGCCTGGTACGATCCAGATGTCTGTTAGGGTGACCCCTATTTCCGATACACCTCCAAGACCAGCGCTATGACCATACTTGGATGGTCAAGAAGCAACCGATCTGTTAATTTGGTTTGCATGATAAATTACTGACCAAGAACAAACCAACTTAATTATCTTTATTAAGTCGGTTTACGTGATGAATTGCTGGTCAAAAGGGAACCAACTTAAAGTGTAGAAAATCATTGAAAGGGAATAACTATGTTAATTGACTAGGAATTAGGTTTAGGTATTAAACGTTCTGTACTGTGTATATTAATAAAAGCAATTAATGTATAGGCAATTCCGTCAACAAAATGCGTTTCTTCCAGCGTACAATAATTTTTTCAAACAATGCGTTAAATGATTTGAGTATCTCTTCTACCAAATGGTCATAGTTCGCTATATATAAAAAAATACAACGTGCAATTATACAACACGCTACTGAAGTGAAACTTCTTCAAACACATAAACATACCGGGATAGGGGTTAAGGAATTGGTTTAATTGTATTATTTGTACAGTATGGATTTACATTTTACACTGTACATGCCGGAGTTGCCCGTAACGAACGTTGCATTGAAGCGCGCTCACGGCTCAAGCGATCCTCACTACGAGACATCCGTTGCATGATTTCGTTACATAGCAACTCGCATGAAACGAACTTACCTTACCGTGCGTAAAGAAGTTTCACTTCAGAAATCCTCTTTTGTTTAATCTTTTAAAAAGTAATTTCTATAGAAGTGTTAAGTAATATGTTTATAAATATTTCTTAAAATTCAAATTCTAGAAATGATTCTAGAAGATGTTGATATAGGAGCATGCAGACCTGACTACAAACCAAAGATTCTGAAGGAAACACCTGCAATAGCATGGGTCGATGGCGCAATGAATTTAGGTCCTGTTGTAGGAAATTTTTGTATGGATATTGCAATAAAGAAAGCTAAAGAAGTCGGTATCGGATGGGTTACGTGTAAACGTGAGTTGCACACGTGTGGGGAAAACCAGCTGCGATCTTAATAATAATTATCTCAAATAAAAATGAAAATCTCCCACCCTTATGCCAACGAAAGGAGCATAAACTAAGACATTCTTTCTTTTTATTGGAATGTAATTTAGAAACACGAGTATATTAATTTTACCCACTACAGAGAACCTCAAATTAATGAGAAAAAATTGTTACTGCTGTCAGTCCCTTGCCGGGAATTGAACCCGAGCCCCTGGTTTTACGTACCATTACGCTACAATCGGATGTCAACATAGACCGAGCGGCATGGCCTAGAGTTCTAGACCATTGCTTAGCATTCGGGAGGACGCCGGTTCGATTCCGGGTCCGTCTGCCTTGGTCCAAGTTTTTCTGTGGTTTCCTTGGATCACTTAGGCAAATGCTGAGGCAGTAATACTCCACAGATAATCTTTCACTCTCTTCTGTCTTTATTTCGTCCGTCTCAACTTTTCACCCGAACCACCACCCACCCATTCCCACGATTCCTGAAAGCAGGCTGAAGAGGACCTTCCGCCCTACCTTCCGGCGTAGTCCGGAGGGACTGCCCGCCCACCAGCATAAGTGGCTGGGGGGAATGAAACACCCAAAAGGTGTCAACATAAACACCGACTATACGTACCTAAGGGTATCGGTAGTTAGAATACATGTGCGTATAACCAGGAGCCTGGGTTCGATTCCCGGCAAGGGGGTGACAGCAACAACAATTTTTACTCATTAATTTGATGTTATACTAGGCCGTTCGAGCTCTTTAGGCTCTTGTGGATTGCATGCCTTCAATTACTAGACCTTAAATGGCACGGAAAAACACAATTTTTTCAAATAATAAAATTTTAAGTTTCACCATGACCGGAGCGCGTATATCGGTCAACAACCTTTAGATCATTCTTTTGATGGGATAAGTTATAAACCCCAAAAAAGGCATGTGATAATAAAACCTGGGAATTCCACCTGTCACCAGCATCTCCTGCTTTATAACAACCGAGGCATAATTTTACTTACACTATTTATAGAGGAGCACATTTTTGGACATAAATCAAATTATATTAAATTGATTTCGCTTTTGTATTCAAAAAACTGTTTCTATTATCCACACGAACAAAAAAAATAGAAAATGAAGGACGTGAAATATATTAAATTACAGATTCAAATGATTATGGTTTATCAACATGTTATGCACTACGGGCATACAATGTCGGATTTATTGGATTCGCTTGTTCTAACTCGCCAGCAATGGTTGTTCCAACCAGAGGGAAAAAAGTGAGTAGCAGGATTTTAATTTTTGCACTAAAATTTAAATCGACAAATCTACAGTGACGGATTATCCGTAAGGCAAACTAGGCACATGCCTAGGATCGCAAGGTTGGAAAGAGGCGTGCGCGGAAATTTTTAAACTAAAAAAAAAAAAAATAAGGAAGGGCTCGTATCTGGCAATATCCTGCTTAGGGTTGCCACTTTTTTAGAATATAAATAAAGGACCCATGGTCATAAAAGGTATAAAAAAGTATGCTGTGTTAAAATAAAGTACAATTTATTTTATTCTATTATTTTGCTTAAAAACATATTTTTCATTACTTTTAGTAACTTTTAATAAATAATTATCACTGCTAAGCAATTGTACAGCATCATTACAGCCTAGATTTGAGTTAAAGTAAACAAGTAGTTCATTTTTTATCAGATTTAGTGACGCTTTATTTCTTGCGTCTTGGCATTTGTTACTTACTTTAAACAAATTTGAAAAATTATCATCAGTTATATTATATATTTGCTGTCATTTTTGTGCAGTAGATAACTCATCGACTTCAGTAACTCCGTCATTCTATTTTACGCAAAAATTCTTACAATCGCCCTTTTTGTATATTATATCTTAAACGAATCTCAGAGAAATCAAATCATGTGAAATAAAGTATCATAAATAATGTACAATACTTTATAATAAAGTACGGGTGGCAACCCTAGTTAAGTGTTCCTTAGGAAGTAAGCAACACACCTGTAGCATTCAACATAGGTATATGTAAAATTCGTTACAATATCTTTTAGAAAAGATAATAGGTACCCTTATACAACAACGCTTTCTGTATACCTAATACGACCCTTGTAAAAGCACTTAGGGTTGAAAACGTTTCTTGGAAACTTCGACGATGCCTATTTAAAGTAAAGAATAAGAGCCAAACAAACGCTTAACAATATTCTTGCATTATTTCTCTGATGTTCTAATGGACACTTAAGAATTTCTTACTGTATTGGTTAAGCTATAATTGACCACTTTTACCTACACTAGGTACATATACGGGTAAATCTATTCTTCTATAATTACAACTATGAAGCTTTCACCTAAACTTAAAAATGAAAACGTTGCATTAAAACTNCCTGCTTTCAGGAATCGTGGGAATGGGTGGGTGGTGGTTCGGGTGAGAAAGATGAGACGGACGAAATGAAGACAGAAGAGAGTGAAAGATTATCTGTGGAATATTACTGCCTCAGCATTTGCCTAAGTGATCCAAGGAAACCACAATTTTGCTTGAGATTGAAAACACTCAATCACTAACAACTGAGCTTGGTTTGATAGTTTTCAGGGCATCAAATAACAAATCTAAGTTTTTAGTTCTTTCATTCGTTGCCACAAATAATAAAAATTCAGCTTTTAGTACCTTTGGATCTGTATGTTTTTCTTTAGGGTCTTTAAAAAGCTTGTGAATTGATTTTTCCATGGCTTCCTTTAAAAAAAGCATCACTCTAATGAGTAGTTTCTTCAATTTGCTCTTTATTAGAATCGATTTCCACATTTGGGAATATTCTTTATCTCAATATCTTTTCAGATAATTTAATAATTTCGGTTTTTGAAGCTAATAAAAAAAGTACACTAGATTTCTTTGCTGAGGCCACAGTCGTTGCATAGAATGAATAGCGAATCAAATGTTAAAAATTAATTTTTACATAATTTAATTTTTTACACCGTTTTCTTAATTTCAAAACCGGTTTTCAAGTGTGACCAATTTATTTTAAAAGCCGATTTTTTAAAACCAGATTTCAAAAACCATCAAACCCTAAACTGATTCCTACCAGTTTCTGCTGTTTTGCAATGGTCCATTCCTAGAATATCTCGTAAAATAGCCAAGCTGTATCATATTAACATTAACCAACTATCTATTTTTAATAGCCTGTATTAGGTCCGAATCCAATATGCCTTGCAGCGCCCAGTAAAAGGGAAGAAGAAGGTGTCATTATGGATATGACCACCAGTACCGTTGACTGGGCAGAGGTTATGAAAACTAAAAATATCCCAATAGAAATAATAATAATTATTTGCATATTTACATATATCTAGATAGATCAGTACAAGATAAAGGGCCAAGAACTTCCAAAAGGATGGGCTGCAACTAAAGATGGCACTGAAACGACTGATATTTCACAGGCAACGTATTTATTGCCCTTAGGAGGTACCGAAGATCGGTCGGGATACAAAGGTTACAACTTCATTCTCATGGTAGAAATTCTATGCGGAATTCTTGGCGGTAAACACCCATTAATACCATCATCATCATCATAAGGTCATCAGTCCTAAGACTGGTTGGACACGTACCTCCACTCTTTCCTATCCTGAGCTAAACTTCGCATTTCCCTAAAACTAGAACAACCCACATCCTTAACTATTTGCGAACAGTAATCTAATCTAGGTCTACCTCTACCCCTCCTAACTCCTGTTTCTGCCTCTAATATGTCTCTGACTAGACCTTCATGCCTGAGAAGGTGTCCTACCAACCTATCTCGCCTATTTTTTATTGACTTCCATAGAGTCCTCTGTTCTCCTATTCTTTCCAATACCTCTTCATTTCTAACCTTTTCTACCCACGATATCCTCATCATCCGCCTATAACACCACATTTCGAACGCTTCTAACCTTTTCTTTTCCGCCGCTCCCACTGTCCATGTTTCGCACCCGTACAACGCCGTGCTCCAAACATACACCTTTAACAACCTTTTTCGAATTTCTAATTTAACCGTTCGCGAGCATAGAAGTGACTTCTGTTTATTAAAGGCGACACGACCCTGCGCTATCCTCTGCTTTATATCCCTACTACTCCTTCCATCCTCACTTATCTGACTTCCTAGGTATCTAAAATCAGCCACTTCTTCTAATTTTTCGTCTCCTATCTTTATATTAATACCATATGGTTTTATTTTTTATTTAAACTCCACATATGTATGTGTAGGTATATATAAATCCATATTAACTAAATTGTTATATACGAGAGATATTTCCAAAGTTCTGAAAATTTAGCTATAATTATTATTATACTTCATTTACTTTATCTAGCGATGTGCCCCTTCCAATGTCTTGGATGCACGCTGGCAAAATCGTAGGTAGATCTGCGTGCAAGATCTGGGGAATAAGGTGGATGCGGAAGCAATTCCCATCGCAAATCGTTCAAAACAACCTTCGTTTTTTTGAGGTGTGTGGTCTTACATTATCCTGTTGCAATAACGGACGCTTATGCAACTTTCCAGGTCGTTTCTTGACAAGTGCCTGTCGCAATAGTCCGGATATTCAATTCGATTAATATTGTGCGTTAATTGTAGTACTTTTCGTCAGATAATCCATAAAAACAATCCCTTCGCAATCCCAGAATACAATAAGCATTTACCTTTCCAAAAGACGATAATTCTTTGGGTTGGCTTTTGGTCTTAGGGTTGAAATAAGGAATCCACGTTTCGTCAGTAGTTATTATTCGTCGCCAAAATTCATCGACGTAACGGGCTAACAGCTCTTGAAGTTGACGACAAGTATCAGACCTATTGAGTTTCTGTTCTGGTCCCAACAGCCTTGGCACCAAGCGAGCTGAAACCTTGCTAAAGCCCAAATGTGGTACTAAATATAGATAAATAAAGAAACGAAAAAAGATTGATGTGGAAGTATTTTACAAAGTCTACTGTAAATTTTACACTTATTTTCCACAATTTAGGAAGACGTTTACTATAACAAAAATGTAATTCCAATTTTAGGAGGTAAGTTTGGACCTTACGTTAAAGAAACCCATAGCGCCCGAGATCCTGCGAACCTGTGTCATACTTTTTTCGCCTTGGACCCCGCAAAATTTAATCCTGCGTTTAAACTTCATATGCAGGATTTGACAGCAGCTCTAAGATCTACCGATTCTGTAAGTGTTTTAGCAATATTTAATACGAAACGATTATAGCTTTTTTAACAATTTCCAAAACCCGAAACTATTTCGAACTAAATATAGCATAAAAAATATTGTAACAAATTCGTCTGTAACTTATTAATTTCTTTAAATGGATCTTCTGTAACAGTTATTTATTTTACATAATAATACTAACTATAACTATACAGGCACTAACACTACTGCTTATTCATATTACTACTTTATAACAGACTTTGTTATTTAACAGGTCAATTGAAAAGTCCCCGGCCTAAAATAGTAAAACACATTTTTTTTGCAAAATTCGTTTTTTTATTCAACATAATTCCCTTCAAGGGTGATACACTGATTATAGCGATCCTCCAACTTTTCGATACCATTTTTGTAGTACGATTTGTCCTTTGCTTCAAAATAGGCCTCAGTTTCGGCGATCACCTCTTCATTCGACGAAAATTTTTTCCCAACGAGCATTCTTTTGAGATCTGAGAACAGGAAGTAGTCGCTGGGGGCCAGATCTGGAGAATACGGTGGATGCGGAAGCAATTCGAAGCCCAATTCATGAATTTTTGCCATCGTTTTCACTGACTTGTGAGACGGTGCATTGTCTTGGTGAAGCAGGACTTTCTTTTTCTGCAAATGCGGTCGTTTCTCGGCGATTTCGTCCTTCAAACGGTCCAATAACGCTATGTAATAGTCGCTGTTGATGGTCCTTCCTTTTTCAAGGTAGTCAATGAAAATTATTCCACGCGCATCCCAAAATACAGACGCCATAACCTTGCCAGCCGACTGTTGCGTTTTTGCACGCTTTGGAGCGGGTTCATCGTGTGCAGTCCACTCCGATGACTGTCGATTGGACTTCGGAGTGAAATGATGGAGCCATGTTTCATCCATTGTCACATATCGACGCAAAAACTCGGGTTTATTACGCGTGATCATCTTCAAACACTGCTCTGAATCATCAACTCGTCGTTGTTTTTGGTCAAAAGTGAGCTCGCGCGGCACCCACTTTGCACAGAGCTTTCTCATACCCAAATATTCGTGAATGATGTGATGTATACGTTCCGTTGATATCTGTAGAGTGTCTGCTATTTCATTCAATTTCAATTTACGGTCATTCAAAATCATTTTGTGGATTTTTTTAATGTTTTCGTCCGTAACAGCCTCTTTTGGGCGTCCACTGCGTTCACCGTCTTCGGTGCTCATTTCACCACGTCTGAACTTAGCATACCAATCCTTGATTTCCTGGGGCAGTGTCCGGAAATTCGTTATCAAGCCAAGTTTTTGCTTCAACTGTATTTTTTCCCTTCAAAAAGCAATATTTTATCAACACACGAAATTCCTTTATATCCATTTTTTTTACAATAACAAAAGTTGCTTCACTAAAAATGCTATAATTCACAAACCAATGATCCGACAGCCGTCAAATTTATAGACGCGTCTTTTGAAGGTTAGGACTAACTGAAAATCATATGGATTTAGTTCTGGTGCCGCCATCTATGTGTCAGGCCGGGGACTTTTCAATTAACCCTAGTATATTACTGGTCTGTATTGACTGCCTCTCGACTGTTTACCAGTCAGCTTTTTACAATTTTGTCAGAGAAATAATTTGGTAGTTCTTCGTTTTTCTGGAAAGCTCTAGAAGTTCTTTTGTTACGCGGTCATGTACTTGTCGTTTGGCCCATGATTTACGGTCAATTCAGTAATATAAAGGGTATCGCCTTAAGAATATACTCTGTTGCTCCTTCGAGGTATTATAGCAGTACTTACAGATCAAGTCTTTGTTGCATCTGGATTAGAATTTCCAACACTGTTCGTACCACTTGTCAATTCGGTTCATCAAGTTGAAAAGACTAGTCTAATGATATTAGTGACCAGCAGCAGATAGGCTTGTCAGTCGATATTTTTATCATGACAAGGAAGTGGATAAATCGGTTCCCATCCGGTGAATTTAACATTTTCCTTCCATTTCTGAACTGGTCTTGTAGCTTCCGTGGTTGGCTTAACTTCTTTTTAAAGACCACATCAATTCTACGACCCGTATCACATCTTTAGAAACATAATGAGCCAGGGGGTACTCCTCCTGGACAACAAACACCTTTTGCGATCCTTCGGCAGTAACTTCAAATACGTTCATGGAATACAAGCTCGGTACAGCCATGAATTCCTCGTAGTGGGAATCTGAGGAAAAGATTTGCATAATTCTTCGCGATTGTCATCATCGTATAGAGCTAATAGATTGAAATAGACCACTTTTGGTTTTCTATTTCCATTTCCACTCCACATCTAATTCTGTATCATATGACATCGTTGATTAATTTGACGATTCTGTATGGACCTCCCCAATGCTATTAAAGCTTCTGTGATAGACTCTTCTAATGTCTTGGAACGTAAATCCACATCAAGCCCCCCCTCTTGGAATCCTCCATCCGTTATCCTTATATCATAGGTGTCCTCCAAGCGATCACTGCCGATCCACGTATAGGAACGTATTTACAACCTTGTGAATGCTATTGAGTTGTTTTCGGATTTCACCAACATAATCTCCTCCTGCAACACCTTCACCAGATGACCATCCTTCTCAATAATCCCACACCAATTTGACTTAGGTAGATTTAGCAGCCACTTCTTATCCTTTATCCTTTAATTAGGATCTGATCCCAGAATTGCCCCCAAATATATCAAATTTTTGAAATATCTTCGCCTTAAAATTTAAATAAAGTTGATTTGACTTGTTAAATTTCGAGATTTCCTTATATTGTAGTTTAGTGGTTCGGAATTATGAATCCTGATTAATATCGGGTTGTTCGGAAAGTCATTTCGTTTTTTTCCGACAGAGGATTTAATTGTATTCTTTTGCACCCAACTTCACATTTAAGTCGTATAATTTTTATATGCTTTGAGAGCTCATATAGCAAGGCTTGTGTGTGAAAAATTCCAATTAATTCTACGCAGTAGTTTTTGGTTGGTGCCCTTTTAAATATGGAGAGCGATAAGCAGCATTTTCGACATATCTTACTGTTTTACTACAGAAAGGGTAAAAATGCTGTTCAAGCCAGAAAGAAATTGACTGATGTGTATGGAGAAGGTGTGTTGACAGTACGCCAGTGCCAGAACTGGTTCGCTAAATTTCGATCCGGCAATTTTGATGTCGAAGATGCACCACGTTCGGGAAGGCCGGTTGAAGCTGATAAAGACGCGATAAAGGCATTAGTTGATGTGAACCGGCGAATAACAACACGTGAGATCGGATTGAGGTTAAATTTATCAAATTCAACAGTTTATGACCACTTGAAAGGCCTGGGATTATCCTCGAAGCTCGATGTATGGGTTCCCCATGTTCTCACAGAGAGAAATCTGTGTCGCCGCATTGACGTCTGCGATTCGCTTCTCAAACGTCACGAAAATGATCCGTTTTTGAAGCGCATCATCACTGGGGACGAAAAATGGGTTGTATACAACAACGTCAAACGCAAGAGGTCATGGAGCAAAAAAGATGAACCGGCTCAAACCATTTCCAAAGCCGATATTCACCAAAAAAAGGTGATGCTGTCTGTTTGGTGGGATTTTAAAGGAATCGTTTTTTTTGAGCTTTTACCGGATAACACAACGATTAATTCGGAAGTCTACTGTCATCAGCTGGACAAACTGAATGATGCACTTCAACAGAAAAGGTCAGAACTAATCAACAGGAAAGGTGTAGTGTTTCACCAAGACAACGCGAGACCTCACACAAGTTTGGTCACTCGCCAAAAGCTTTTACAGCTTGAATGGGATACAATGCTACACCCACCATATTCTCCAGACCTGGCACCATCGGATTATTATTTGTTCCGGTCACTCCAAAATTTTTTAGACGGTAAAACCTTCACCTCAAATGAGGAGGTCAAAAACCTCCTCGATCAGTTTTTTGCCAGCAAAGACCAAAAATTTTATGAGCGTGGAATTATGCTACTACCAGAAAGATGGCAAAAGGTGTTGGACCAGAACGGTCAATATATAATTTAATAAAGTATTTGTTTATTATACGAAAACTGTCTTTCATTTCCACAAAAAAAAACGAAATGACTTTCCGAACAACCCTATACAATCAGTTTCATTATTTCATATGTTACTATCGCGTAGATTCAATTCGTAATATATTTGTTTAACGTTTATATAAAATCTTAAGGTTACTCCTGACACTCCGGTGTGGATTGCTGGAGATCCAGAGAGGATGCACATGAAAGCAGTAAAAGAAGCCGGCGGAATACGTTATTCAAAAAAAAATTTGCAAACTTTTGAAGAAATCGCTTTTAAATACGGTGTGACGCCATTGAAAGCAAAAGACTCCTGTTATTTCCCTTCATAATGTATATACTTATTACTTTTCATAATTTACCTACTTAATATACTTTATATGTATATATAATTTTTCAAGGAAACATTAAAAAATGGATAAAGTATTCCTAGATATAGATCCTATTAAATATGAGCTTTAATACTAATAATTAGAAGTGGCATTTTGCAATGTTTTATTTCCCATTTAAATAACAAAGGAATTTTTCTTTTTTTATTTTGGAATTTTGTAACTCGACAGTGAATTACTGTATAATAATGAGCAATTTTAGTTAATTTTAGGCCTTATATATTAATAATTATCAATAGTTATCAATACATCAATATATTGATATTTATTGATAACTATTGCTATATTGATAACTATCGATAACTTTGGAAAACATCCATATATCGATAGCTAATGATAAATCGATAGTTATCAGTTGCTATTAATGTTATCGATAACCACTGATATATCAATATTTTTTCCCAGCATTGGTCCTAAACAGTAGGTCCTTCCGAATTCCNACTGTTAAATTGATAAAAATGTAAATAAATTTTTAAATTGAAGCCGACTGAATATTTATTTTAAAGGAAGGTATTCAAGATTTTATTGAGAAAGAGTTTCTTCACGCATATTCATTTGTAAATAGAAGGATGTTATTTCTTGAGACAAACAAGCAATGTGACCGAATGATGATGCGATTATAACAAAAAGATCATTAAAAAGAATAGGTCGAAGACAAATATATATCATTTCAACAGAATGCTTTTGGTAAATGCACAGAAAAATTGCAGCTATTAGAATGAAAAAACTGTTATAATTTTCTCAAACGTTGGACAGAAGATTAAAAATTCATTGTACCTACTGCTCATATTAAACAATCGCTATTTTTAATTAAGAAGCACCATTTTGGCTCTTATTACTTATTCCATTTTTATACTTTTAACTTCCTTAATAGCGGAAAATTTAATTGAGAAATAAACAACACAATTTTCTTAAACAGAGTAGCTTTTGTGTACATTTTCTTTCTCTATCAGAAATCGTATAAAAAATCGTAATGAACAGAGAACAAGATTGTTACATTTTAGTACTATTAGTCCATTTAATAAGGGAGGAATCAATTTTTAAAGAAACAAAAACAAAATTGGGGTTGAAAGTGCACCCCGGTAATTTCTAACTACATATACAATTCCTTTCACTGGTACCTCACAATACATTTTGGTACTTTCAGCTAAACTGAATAAAGGAGAAATTAATTTATTAAAACAAAATCAACGTTTTTAAATTAGGCGTTGAAAATTTACCCTGATGGTAGTTTCATAGTTTAAGATTATTTTAATTAATGCGTGATGCATCAATTACAATTTTAGGACTTTCAGTTCGTTCAATAAGAGAGAAATTAATTTTAAATTTAATGAAAATGTAAAAAAAAAGGATCCTACCTTTCAAATGTAGTGTCGATGATTTGGAAAGGACAGTTGTGGGATAATATCTCTGTAGTGTCCACTTATTTCTCTCGGTAGGCGAATAGTTCGGAGTAGGTACTAAAATAATTTATATTTTTAATTTCATTTTGCAAATTAAAAAAACTGACATCATTTATTGGGACCATTTTTGATATATTACACGTACTTAATTGGTGGTGTTAAAAAACTTTTAGTTGGCAAAATATATTTTTGAATATGGGGGTTTTCCCGAACATATATTTTAAGGCGCATGGTCGATTCTTTTATTGCAGATGCTAATTTTTAAAATTATTACAAATCAATGATTATATTGAAATATACTACACACGTCTAACAATATCAACAAGATGACATTATTAATTTGAAATCATTTTTTCGATTTTTTATTTACCCACTACAAACTACCTCAAAGTAATAAGAGGTGTGACAACAGCAACAATTTTTCCCTCATTAATTTGAGGTAGTTTGTAGTGGGTAAATAAAAAATCGAAAAAATTATGTCAAATCAATATTGCATATTAATCCACTATTAAGTAACTAACAATGTCATAGGATTTCATAAGATGACATTAGTCGTAATGCGCCTGATTTCGTCCATTTACTAGATTTGTCAGCTTTGAGACGAGAAAAAATATATTCTAATAAGGCAATATCAATAAATTATGTAATAATTTACTGTTTATATACTCTATTTTAATTGTTATTTACCTAATCATAAGCTAATTACTAGAAGAGTTTTTTATATGAAAAATATTACAGGCAAATATACGGATATTCAGTTTTTGTCCACAAAAGCTAGTTGTCGTCCACATATAACTAATCTTGAAAAATAGAAAATTATGAAATAAGGAAAATATATACTTAAAAAGAAAATAATACAGATTCTAAATTATAACACAGCGCTATAATAAGATACTGTTTGTCTTGTCTAATTCCTATAAAAACAGTTCATATGTGGACAACTTCAAAATTTTTATCTTCTATCTTTTAATTACGACAAATTTCGAAAACTTTCTCGAAAATAGTAAATATTGGTTTTTAGGTCACCCTAGCGAATGTAGGGGTGGATTGTCCACCAAAGCTGTTCTTATCGTTTGAAATAGAAATGAGCAAATTTTTAGGTTTTATAGTTCGGTCAATCATACAAAAGCGAATGGTCGAAAACTTATACTAAATAATATTTTATGTAGGCTCCGATTTTCGTCCACAACTTTACAATTTTTTTATTCATACAATACAAGCAATCGACTGGACAAAAATAATATGCCCGATTGAAAAGCAAATANAGGTCATTGCGCCTCACATTTTTTTTTTGCAATTTATTGATACATCTGCACCTCAGAAAAGCAATACTTCAAATAACTAATTCAATATTTTGCGATACAGCTGGTCTATTATATTAGTTTTTATATTGTTTAAATATTAGGTTTTCAACAAATTCAAGCATATACGATGATTATCTTCAATATTATAGTTATAGTTTGAAACAAGATCTTCAAGTGGACAAATACAGGAGCTAGATGGAAAACAAGCGAAATCACCCTATTAAACATTAAAGTATTAAAACATACTATGAATAAAAGTACTGGTATCTAACAATAGAACACCTATTCGTACGTTCAAGGCTTATTTTGCAAAAATAAGAAAGGAACGTTACAAACCGTTGATTAGTTTAACAATTTAAAAAATATTCGCACAGACTATGTCAAGGTCAGTAAAGTTTAATCAATGATTATTATTACTGTCCATGAAACGCGTCAACAATTACTGCAGTGAGTAGTGAAGTTTGAAATAAGCTAATAAGTAATAATAATGTAACAAGTAATAATAGTTTATGGCTGCAAATAAAACTTCACAGTTCTCCCACCAAGGAAAGGACCTTGTGAAGGCAGGTTATCGATGATATGCAATTGTTTATTTATAAAATAGAAATTATGTAGAGTAAGTACATCATAGCCTGCAAGCTGTTTTCAGCGTTGTACCACGACAACATTAGGTATTATGTTTACGTAAAAGCGGAAATTGTGTCCACTGCGCCCATTTAATAGACAGTAGATTGGCGGAAATAGTTCCCATTTAACTATTGCAAATTCCGTGAGTATTTTTATTTTCAATGTCTTTCAAAAAGTCATTCGTGGGCTACCTACATACATGTTCATTTATCCATTGCAAAACAATATTATAAATGATAAATAATGCTAACTTTTTACGACAGCGACTGTAAATGTAAAACTTGTCTAAACCATTGATAAATTTGAATTGTAAAAATTTAAATTTAATGTTAAGCTTCTAGTTATTTTGTAATAAGACATAAAATCAAAAAGTACCTATTTAGTGCAAGTTTTTTTATTGATCGTACAGAAATATAACTAAAAACAACAAGTGAAACAATCGACAGCATGTACATTTTATGTTGATTCGTATAGGGTCAAAGGTAAACTTTTTTATGTCTAGAATAATTGTCGTACATCGTCTGGCTCATTTTACTAAAGAAAAGGAGATATAGACGACTTGTTGGAAAAAAAAATAGAATAATTTGATTTTCGTCAAATTTTCATCTTTTCTTTTCATAAAAATAGCAAACGAATTCTTCAACAAGGCATTCGGATGGGAAGTTTAATTTCCTACAAAAAAGTATTCTTGTAAAAAACTCCTAAAGTGCATAATTTTTGAATCACCGCGAAAAAGAACTAAAAAATGGTCTTTTTCAATTGGATCTCAACAGCACACTCGAATACATATTTAGTAACACTTTATAATTTTATCATTTTTAGTTATCGAACTAACACATTTAACAGTAAAAACCCATGGACGCAATTGTTCTCAGTCGCAATCTGCTAATTTACTTCGACATTCATCCGAATTTAAACTTTGACTCTAGCTTCATCATCACAAGATCGTCAGTCCCAAAAGTCTTTCCTATCCTGAGTTAATCTGCGCATTCACCTAAAACTAGAGCATCCCACATACCTAACAATTTGTAAACAGTAATCTAATCTACATAGGTCTTCCTCTACTCCTCGTAACTCCTGTTTTTAGTCTAGCATAATATAGACATAATAAAACAAACAACAACACATTTGTCGTTCCTTAACGTCCTTCCAGACAGTCTATCTTCATGTTCTAATAGACAAACCGTATGTGAATCCAACTTCTAAAAATGGCAAAATATTTAATTATTTTATATGGATATATACTGTTGTTAAAGGTGTATGTTTGGAGCAGGACGTTGTACGGGTGCGAAACATGGACAGTGGGCGCGGCGAAAAATAAAAGGTTAGAAGCTTTCGAAATGTGGTGTTATAGGCGAAAGATGAGGGTAACGTGAGTAGAAAAGGTTAGAAATGAAGAGGTATTAGAAAGAATAGGAGAACAGAAGACTCTAAGGAAGTCAATAAAAAATAGGTGAGATGGGTTGTAGGACACCTTCTCAGACATGAAGGTCTAGTCGAAGACATATTAGAGGCAGAAACAGGGGTTAGGAGGGGTAGAGGTAGACCTAGGTTAGATTACTGTTCGTAAATAGTTAAGGATGTGGGTTGTTCTAGTTTTAGCGAAATGCGAAGCTTAGCTCTGGGTAGAAAAGAGTGGAGGTACGTGTCCAACCAGTCTTAGGACTGACAACCTTATGATGATGATGATGATGATGTATATACTAGCTATTAAATTATAACTTCAATAGATAATAACCAAAAGTTACCTCTCTTTTACAAAAAGTAGAACTATTTGATAAGAATTTTATTAGTCTTGCTAATTTTTCATGAACTTTGTCTTGAAGTCTTGACATATATAATTATTGTTTTTATTATAAAACATTTTCATGGCTTTTATTATCTTTTTCGCATTGTTTTAAATTCTTGGACTATTTCAATTTATTGATACATCTGCACCTCAGAAAAGCAATACTTCAAATAACTAATTCAATATTTTGCGATACAGCTGGTCTATTATATTAGTTTTTATATTGTTTAAATATTAGGTTTTCAACAAATTAAAGCATATACGATGATTATCTTCAATATTATAGTTATAGTTTGAAACAAGATCTTCAAGTGGACAAATACAGGAGCTAGATGGAAAACAAGCGAAATCACCCTATTAAACATTAAAGTATTAAAACATACTATGAATAAAAGTACTGGTATCTAACAATAGAACACCTATTCGTACGTTCAAGGCTTATTTTGCAAAAATAAGAAAGGAACGTTACAAACCGTTGATTAGTTTAACAATTTAAAAAATATTCGCACAGACTATGTCAAGGTCAGTAAAGTTTAATCAATGATTATTATTACTGTCCATGAAACGCGTCAACAATTACTGCAGTGAGTAGTGAAGTTTGAAATAAGCTAATAAGTAATAATAATGTAACAAGTAATAATAGTTTATGGCTGCAAATAAAACTTCACAGTTCTCCCACCAAGGAAAGGACCTTGTGAAGGCAGGTTATCGATGATATGCAATTGTTTATTTATAAAATAGAAATTATGTAGAGTAAGTACATCATAGCCTGCAAGCTGTTTTCAGCGTTGTACCACGACAACATTAGGTATTATGTTTACGTAAAAGCGGAAATTGTGTCCACTGCGCCCATTTAATAGACAGTAGATTGGCGGAAATAGTTCCCATTTAACTATTGCAAATTCCGTGAGTATTTTTATTTTCAATGTCTTTCAAAAAGTCATTCGTGGGCTACCTACATACATGTTCATTTATCCATTGCAAAACAATATTATAAGATAAATAATGCTAACTTTTTACGACAGCGACTGTAAATGTAAAACTTGTCTAAACCATTGATAAATTTGAATTGTAAAAATTTAAATTTAATGTTAAGCTTCTAGTTATTTTGTAATAAGTCATAAAATCAAAAAGTACCTATTTAGTGCAAATTTTTTTATTTATCTTACAGAAATATAACTAAAAACAACAAGTGAAACAATCGACAGCATGTACATTTTATGTTGATTCGTATAGGGTCAAAGGTAAACTTTTTTATGTCTAGAATAATTGTCGTACATCGTCTGGCTCATTTTACTAAAGAAAAGGAGATATAGACGACTTGTTGGAAAAAAAAATAGAATAATTTGATTTTCGTCAAATTTTCATCTTTTCTTTTCATAAAAATAGCAAACGAATTCTTCAACAAGGCATTCGGATGGGAAGTTTAATTTCCTACAAAAAAGTATTCTTGTAAAAAACTCCTAAAGTGCATAATTTTTGAATCACCGCGAAAAAGAACTAAAAAATGGTCTTTTTCAATTGGATCTCAACAGCACACTCGAATACATATTTAGTAACACTTTATAATTTTATCATTTTTAGTTATCGAACTAACACATTTAACAGTAAAAACCCACGGACGCAATTGTTCTCAGTCGCAATCTGCTAATTTACTTCGACATTCATCCGAATTTAAACTTTGACTCTAGCTTCATCATCACAAGATCGTCAGTCCCAAAAGTCTTTCCTATCCTGAGTTAATCTGCGCATTCACCTAAAACNATCCATACAAAATATCTATCAAACAAATAAAATTAAAATTTTCTTTTGAAAAATGAAATCATTCCATCAGTATTTTCTTATGACGTTGTCACGTTCAACTATCGTCAGTAAACCGACTTTACAGACAACCGATTTTTTAACGTTGGTTTTGGATAGCCTTGGGTAAATTGGAATGATGTGATAGTCCATGATCGGTTGTATGCAGGTTTTTATTATGAGCGTCTTCACTTCTATGTCTACGTTTGACGTCCAGCCAATGATAGGGGCCAAACTGAAGGAAATCTTGCGGATCTTATCAAGGATGTTTTTTGTTTGTAGGTTTCCAGATAGTCGTGGATCTAAAATGATACCCAAGTATTTCACCGACGGTGATAGTGGTAATATTTCATTCTTAATGCGCACCCATTTACGATGGTTCCTAGTGTATGTGAACAATGTGGCTTCTGTCTTGCTTACGTTGCATTCCAGTCCCCATCTTTCATAGTAATTCACCAGGTCTCGCACAGCCCACTCCGCCCTGATAAGTGCTTGCTCGGGTCTACGGGCTCGATTTAGGATACAGAGGTCGTCCGCGTATTGTGACAACATGGTACCACTGATGTTGTTATTGGGTAGGTCTGACATGTAAAGATTCCATAAAACTGGCCCCAAGATAGAGCCCTGAGGTACTCCATGTATAATTCTCATTGGAGAGCCGAGTGTGTTTAGGTACTTAGCACGGACCGTTCTCTTTTGAAGATAGTTTTCAATGAATTTTGTGAACTCAAACGGAATGTCCATATTGACTAGTTTTTTTAATTAGTCCAGCGTGGTTTATTGAATCAAAGGCTTTACTCAGCTTGGTCGATACTAATGCAACGTGGTCCCCGACATCTAGGGCTTTACATACGTAGTTACAGGTACGCATTATTTGAGGCTGCGTCCCACGGCCAGGCATGAAGCCGTGTTGGTAGGACGGTATTTTTGATTTTGGTTCCGCCCGTATACGATGAAGGAAGATTTTTTCCAGAATTTTCCCCATGGTATTTAAAAGTGTTATGGGACGAAAGGATCGTGGATCATTTATATCCTTCCCCGGTTTGTGCAAAAATATACAAGTACCTGATTTCCATCGTTCTGGGAAGTAACCGGTGGTCAAGCACCAGTTAAAAATATTGACCAGCTGTTGCAGTAGTTTTATTCCACCCCACTTGATTGGACCGATCATTATGTCGTCAGGACCAAGAGCCCTATTATTACGGAAAGTTTTGGTTACATTCACTAACTCGGCGATACTTGTTGGTTCAATCGGCTTCATAGGGGTCAAAGCGAAGGAGGTTTTGTCATCTTGTGCAACTTGCGAAGTTTTGACTAATGCTGCGTCCATGAGCCTGTTTGCTGTGTCTTCTATAGTGGCGGTTTTTAAGTAGGGCAGTGGTCGGTCTGGGCTTTTAATGCTCTTTTGTATTTTCCATAGTATTTCCGGTTTTCTTTACTATTTAGTATTTTTGTCCACTGTTGTTGCTTGACTTCGCGGAGCTCTTCTTTTATGCTCTCCTTAAGGTCTTGCAACCTTTGATGGGCTACTGTCGAATAAAATCGGTTACAGAAATTACGTAGCCCATTCCGCTCTCTGATTTTTGATTGCAATTCGGGTGGTAGTTGATTGGAGCTTCCTGGTGTTATTTGTTTTTTTGGGCATAGTTCATCCAACGCCGTATGAATTATTTGCTCAATTTTTTGGATCTGATCCTCACAATCAGCATTGGATTCTATTTTCCATGAGTACTGAGCTGTCAATTCATTCGCAGTTTCTTCATATTTCTTTATATCAAGAAAATTGATATTGCGAAACATTTTGGTTGTCCTCGAAGGCTGTTTTTCAATTTTCAAAATCCAGGGAATATAGTCCGACCCAACGTCCTCTACCGATTTGGCCGTAGTCCTCATATTACCATGGAGACTAGAAACTGCGAAGTCGATTGTGCTCGTCGAATAACCAGGGCGTGAAGGCAACTCGTGTGAAACTAGGGTAAGCTGGTTGACGCTGAGAATTTTTTCTATATTTATCCCACGTTGGGATGTGCTATGTCCGCCCCATTTTGAGTTACGGGCATTGAAGTCACCTATGGTTAAGAATGCCCTGTACCTTTAGATAACCCTGAATGTTGCCCTTAAATTGTTTATTGCGGAGATTTAGTTCATTGATTACTGCAATGTCAGGTTTGTGTTTTACAATTAACTGAAGCAATTCCTGTAGTTTGGATCTAAGACCTTGTATATTACAGTGCAGTATGGTCAAATTATCCATGTAAGGCTATTGCTTGGATTATTTGTCTGGCAAAAGCCATGCACTTTTGACTTACAGCAGTATTTGAAAGTGATAAGTTCAAGACTGTGGCCGTAATTTTAATACAGAGTTGGGCGACTTCAGGAATGCCATATTGTCTGTACTTCTCCATGGTTTCAAGCAGTTCGTCCCTATAATTAAGGTTATGAACTATGCTTTGTGTCGAGTCTATTGTTTGTATGTATTGGCCCCCTTTGTCGGATACACAACTAGGGTTCACTTCTTTGCTAGTGGCTTCAGCGTAAGTCATTCCTTGACGAATGGTATTTCTCTGTGAGAAGATGTTTTTTTCTAGTTGATTGTGCAATGGGATGCTATCTGTTGCTCGTTCCTTTCTGTTATTGCGAACAAAATCCTATCGCTCTTTTCGTTTGCGTGCCATTTCTTTTTTAAAGGTTTCGCACATTGCGTTGCGGGCCGTGTGACCAGGTTTTTTACAATTAAAGCACACCTGCATCTCGTTGCCATCATCGATAAGTATGGTTTCTGTTTCAGATTTAGGTTCTTGTCCACAGTTAATTTTGACATGCCCAAACTGAAAACAATTTTTACACTGAGCGACTGCGTCGGTTTTGTTGCGAAAACGTTCAATTATCACCCTCTGGCTCATTACACTTTTAATTTTCCACACGGCTTCATCCGGGACAACGGCATCAAAAATTAGTAATAGGGTTACATTATTTCGATATTTAATTGCTCGACGTGGCTTAAGTCCCTGTTTCTGGGAGATATCATCTATGATTTCTGCTTCTGAGAAGTCTGGTAAATATACGTTTTTAATTATAAATTTCTTGGCCTTTAATCTGTCAGCTTTGCGACCATAAGTAAAATAGCTCACGTTTTCCTCCTGCAAAAACTTCAAAATTATTTTGTGAGCCTCGTTCGATGAAGGTTTGATGTACGCGCGTTGTGCGAAGTTGTTAAGTTTGCAACAAGAGTTTGTAGTTCCCACTATTTTGTCAATAAATTTTAACCCTTCTTTGGACGATAGGATGGATTTGTCTGTTATAGTTATGGGTGGAGGCTGTGGTTTTTTTCTCATGTTTTCGAAGTCTTTATTATTATTGATTGTGATGGTTTTTCTTAGCGTAGGTTTTGACCCAATCAATTTACGGAGACAGTTGCTGTCTAATATTTCGAATTGGTTTGACGTTGGTACCATGGCGACATCTTGAGGTGGTGTGCCGGAGGGATTAGGTTCAATAACAGGAAACTGTTCTTCTACCTGTGTGCTTGAGTGTGATGTCGGAACTTCGTTCGGCTTTTTAAGACGATATGCTGCTTCTGTCGAGCCAATGCCCAAATCGCCATTATGATTGATTAGTTGGTCTTCATTTATAATTATGTTGCTGTTGTTACCTCGTTTGGTCATTTCTGTATTGCTAGAAACAACCTTCTTAGGTCTGCCACGTTTCCTTAGTTTGGTTGGTGTGGTATGACTGGCAGCGCTTCTGCTAAACTTTAGGTATGAGTCTAACGATTTCTGAGATTGTCTTTCTACGCGAATGTCTTCACTCATGGTAGTCTTTTCCTTTAATTTCTCAACGCTATAAGAAGATTCTTTCTGCTGAGGTTGTTTATCCTATTGTTCATTATATTGCTGTTCTAACATGATTTACACTAAACTATTAAGCTATTTTGTATTACTGTACTCGACTTAGTGCACGTTGTACGAAAAAAAAACACGTCCGTCCTACACGACGGTCACAACGGAACTGATATTTTTTTGAGAGCTCCTAACAATGGCAAGATTTGGAATTTTTCATGAACTTTCTTTTGTATTTGGCTTTATGTATACTTAGAATTGCTCAATAAGAAGTTATAGGCGATTTACTGAAAAAAAATCGGTTGTCTGTAAAGTCGGTTTACTGACGATAGTTGAACGTGACAACGTCATAAGAAAATACTGATGGAATGGTTTCATTTTTCAAATGAAAATTTTAATTTTATTTGTTTGATAGATATTTTGTATGGATATAGAGAAGGAGGTAAATGGAAATGTATTATTGTATAGCAGCTGTCCACGCG